ATAAAATCATGTTTCTCTGTAGCTGTAATCTCCAGAGTAGTTCCTAACACTGCTCACATCTGAGATAACTTGCCAAGAGAAATCAGAACATAAATATGGCAACAAATGTCATTGAATGCCTTCTTACCTCCATGGAATGCTTCACAAAAGACTTGGTATAAAAAAACCGCTGGAATAACACCTGTCCTGTAGCCATAGCCACCTAAAAAAAGAGATAATCACAACAGCCATGAACAAAACTACCAATTCCAAAGAGAAATTTTAATAGGTTTAAGACCCAGAAGATTAACTAAGCATAGGAGGAAGCTCAGTGGTATCTAAAATACAATTACCACTTAAGTAATTAAATTGCCCAGGACATTATCAATACTGCTTACAAGTCAAATACAGACATAAAAGCTCTATTTCATTTTAGAAAAAATGTGGGAATATGATAAAAAGTTAATAAATTAATAATAAACAACATGGAAAAATCCAAAAAGCCAATAAAGTTCAGACTTATGAAACTACGTCAGAAAAAAAATTGTTTTTTGGGCGTGGAAAGTGAGGAGCAATCTAATCGCGTCATGATTTGCATCAATTTGAATATGCTAATGATCGGTTGCTGGAAAATCTTACGCTCAGACAGTAACGAGCCGGTTTGGCCTGAAGTTCTCCAGGGAAACAAAACCTCCCCGAGGTCCCCGCGGCTCCAGGGGAGCCTTAAGAAATCCGTCTTTGCACAATCCTGAAGCGAAGGCGGCGCAGGGAGGCCCGGAACGAGCCCCGAACACCGGGCGGCGCCGCGGCCTGCCCGGCCGGTAACCGCGGCCCGGCCCCGGCCGGTCACCGGAGACCGGTTACCCCAAAAAACGGCCCAGTTGAGTCCCAGCCCACTCCCTGCCCGCGCCCAGCCCCACCTGCGGCAGCCGCAGCAGGATCCCGGCCGCCTGGATCAGCTCGCAGCCGGTGACGCGCAGCTCGGTCTCGGTGTCGGCGTCCAGGCCGCTGCTCATGGACGGCGTGAAGCGCAGCGTGTGCTCGGGCAGCAGGCAGTTCTCCAGCGTAATCAGCACGCCCGAATACAGCCGGTCGCCGATCAGCACCGCGCCGGGACCCGGTACCGGGGCGGGAGCCGCCCCGGCCGCCTGAGGGCCCGCGGGGCCGCCGCCGCCCGCCGCCGCCGCCATTTTGTGCCGCCGCCGCCTCGCTGGCTCCGCGCTCCTTCTCCTTCCCCCCCGGCATCCGCCCCGCGCCGATTGGCGGAGCGCGGCGGCGCTGCGGCCGCTGATTGGCTGAGGGGCCGTGACGCACGGCGCCGCCCGGGCCGCGCGCGGCGCGGTGACGCAGCGGCCGGGAATCCGGACAGGGCGGGGCCGCGGCGCCCTCAGAGCCCCCAAAACCCCTCAGAACCTCTAAAACCCCTCAGAGCCATCAGAGTCCTCAGAGC